CTTTCTGCCTCAGTTTACTCATCTGTAAAATGGGGATAACGATAGTCCCAAAGGATTGTTGTGAGAATGAATGTTGCAAAGTGCTTTGCAAATCTTGAAGTGCTATGTAAATGCTAGCTAGCTATTATTTTCATATAGTTTCACACAAATATAATTCTTGCTAGTCCTAAGGGGAGGCATATTTAATTAAGACTCTTCATACCTTCCCTCCACCTGTCACCCCTTCACTCCTTCTCTACCTTGCCTGAGCTATCTTTCTGGAGAAAGAACACTGACATTGGGGTTTCAGAACCTGGGCTCACATCTTCCCTCTGACACTTAACACAGACACTTCCACTCTATTACCCTGGGCAAGTCATGGGCATCTGTAAAATGAGGGAGTTGGAGTCAAAGGCCCCCGCTCTGTGATCCTATGGGCTAATCATAGATAGGCCATAGATAGTGCACCATCATGGCCAGCTGATGGTGCTCCCATGTTGTGGAACAGTGGTCCCTTCCCTTGAGGACAGAAATACAAGAAAGGGACCTCGGGAGAAGGGACTTGCTGGCTTCCTTCTTCATCGCCAAGTCCTGTCTGTTCTTCCTCCTGAAGATATCTTACATCTAGGCCTGCTGCCTTTGGCAAGCCTCCATTACTGGTTTCCTTGGCCATTGTAATAGTTTCCTGACTGGTCTTTCCACCTCTGTTCTCTCCCCTTCTCTAGTCCATTCTAAAGCTGTCTAAGCAGTCTTCCTAAACTATTGCTATGATAATGTCATTCCCTTTCATAGGAGCCTCCCAATGCCTGGCATGTAGTAGGTGCTTAATAAATGTTTATTTATTGAGGGACAAAGAGCCAAAGAGTGTAGTGGAGAGAGACCACTGGACTTAGGATTATGGACAAAAGCCAGAAGGGACCCCAGAGGCCATCTAGCCCAGACCCCTTATTTTAGAGACAAGGAAGCTGAGGCTCAGAGAGTTCTAAGTGACTTTTCTGTGGTTATACAGCTAGCAAATGTCTAAGGTGGGATTTGAACCCAGGTCTTCCTGACTTCGTCTAGCATTCTCTCTACTGTATCTTTTTTGCCTTTCCCTTGAAGGTAGGAGAACTGGCTTGATGTCTTGGCTCTGATACTAGCTATATGAATGTGGCTTTCTCTCCCTGAGCCTCAGTTTCTTCTTCTGTAGAATGAGGATAATAGCATACCTATCTCATAGGGCCCTTGTAAAAGTGTTATAGAATTGGGTGGTATCTGTGACCTTCTCCAGAAAAAGTCTGGACTTCTTTCCTTTGGCATTCAAGGCCAACTGTAATATGGCCCCAGCCTACTTGAATACAGATGGTTTGGAGAGGAGAAGAGATGATGGGAGTCCAAAGTTGTTGGTCCTTTGTTCTTAGAGAGGACTAATGACATTGTGACGGTGATGTCTTGACTTCTGAGTGAGTTGGATTTAGGTGGGGCAGAGCTGCGCAAAGTCATCAGCTCACTCTCTCCTCCAGAATGATCAGAGTCCAGTGGCAAGACAAAAGTCGAGACTACTGACGATGGCCCAGGGAACCCAAATGTGGGATTGAGTTAGCTCTTAGTCATCTCTAACCCCATTTGTGTGAGCCACTGGCAACATCTGCTGGCCAGTTTTGGAACTGTGGCTTAGAAGGTCACCTGTAGAATAATAACTCATGTTTATAAAGTGCTTTAAGGGATGGGTGAAACTAGAGCTGTGGCCACCCTTGGGAGAGGTGGTGGTAACCCTCCATAAACAGGGAACCTTAAATGTTTTGGGGAGAAGACAATGAGATCAGATTTGGATGTGTTGAGTTTGAAATGGAGATTTCTAGTAGTCAGTGATTGGGCTTTGGAAAGAGAATGCAGGGGTCACTTGCCTCCAGCCATTCCTCTGAGTTCTTGTGTTCTTTTTTGCCATCCCCTTCTTTGCCCTTGCCCCTGTAAAGGAGAGAAGGTGGCAGGATTTCCATGATTCCTAGAATGGACCAGAGACAGCTTCAGTGTCCAAAGTACACATGTGTCCTCCATGTGAAGCACACACAGTGGGCATCTACTCGGGCCTCCTGCTTCTTTGACAACTTTTCCACCCTCTGACCCATCTCTGTTGTAGGTATCCCCCAAGGTTCTGTTCTCTCTCCATGTTCCTTCTCTTGGTGATCTCATCTCTTTTCATGGTTTGAATCATCATTGCTAATCTCCATATCTAACTATTTAGTCCCATCCCCTTTCCAAAATTCCTTCACTGACTGCCTGTGGGAATTCTCACCTCAAATTCAACATGTCCAAAGCTGATTTTCCCTCTTTTTATGTTAGGATACCGCCATAATTCGGGAAGTACACATCCCAGCTTTGAAAAGTTAGAGTCATCTGAGAAGGCATCCTGGTGGAATTTGGAGTCAGAGGACCTGGGTTTGAATTCAGCACTGAATTTGGTTGAATCATTTCCCCCTCTGGACTTCAGTTTCTTCATTTGCAAAGTTGAGGAATTAGGTTAGATTAGGTGGCCTTAACCTAGGGGGTCCATGAACTTGGATGGGAAAAAAAAAAATCTCTATTTTCACTCACCTGTAGCTGAAACTGAGCATTTCCTTCAGTTGTGAATGTAAGCAACAAACATCATTCAGAGGAAGGTTCCATAGGTTTCATCGGATTGCCAGAGGGGTCCATAACACAAAAATAGCTAAGAACCTCCTCGGACTAAATCATCTCTAAAGGTCCTTCCCGCTCTAAATCATTTGTTCTCAGGCCCGTCCTTTTCCTGCTAGGTGAAATCCTGGCTTTGTCATGGACTAGGTTCCCTTATAGGAATTCCCATGGGGTCAGATTTCCCCTAGTAGGTGAACTCCTATAGAACCGATTCATTTTGGTGCAAAAGGTATTTATTCAACCCCTGCTATATGCCAGGCAGTGTGTAGTTAATGGAGTTACAAACACAAAAGTGAAATAGTTCCTGTCCTCAAGAAACTTATATTCTACAACATTTTACAGATAAATACATACAAAATACATGAAAAAAGCACAAAATAATTTGGGAGGAAGATGGGAGTGTTGTCCATTGATAGAATCAGGAAGGGCCTGATATAGAAGGTGAACTGAGCCTTGAATGTTATTAAGGATTCCTAGAATTGAAGGAGATTGCATCCTGGGCACATGGGACAGCCTGTGCAAAGGTATGGAGGTGGGATATCTCGTGGATGGAGAGAAACCACTTTCTCTCTCTTCTACCATGGAGGTTTATATAGTTTATGGAACAAAGAATAAAAACGTGGGTGGAGACCTGGGTTCTAGTTCTGGCCCTACCTCTGTGTAGCTTATCCCTTCTTGACATCTCAGTTTTCTCATCTGTCAGCAGGGAATTTGTCTTCTTAGGATGATCTCGGAGCCCTTCAACCTATGACATTCTGTGCTCAAAGAGTCCTTTTCCGTCTGCAATGTTTCTATGAGTCTCTCTTTGCTTCTAAGTTACTGTGAAGCAGATTTGGACTCACTTTGGGGCATGATTGGCTAACAGTATCCCACAATGAAATAGCCTGTCTCTACTGCAGTGTGGTTTTAGGCAGAGACACAGTGACCAGCTGTCATGGATGTTATCAGAGGGCTTCTTGCCCTGGACAGAAGCATGGACAGAATGGCCTCTAGAGCTCCTTTTTGCTGTATGAGGTCCTAGAATCCTATGATCTCTGTTCCTTTTTCTTCTCACCCTTCCTCCTATGTCTGGTGCTCAGGACCCACAGGCTCATAGGGTGTCCCTCCATTGAAGATCCCATTGGGTAGAAGGCCGAATGATACAGCCCAACTCTATCCAGGTTGGGCTTCCTACCAGCGCATACCCCTCCTGATTCTCTTTCTCTTTTGAAACTTTGACCTTGACAATTGCCAACAAACACAAACATTTCAATTCACAAAGAACAAATTTACATTTACAAAGAGCAAGATTGCATTTAAAATGATGAATTCTGTTATATGTAGCTTATTTTTCAAAAGTGCATTAAATTTAACAAGGTAGTAGCAAACCACTCTGTTCATGTCCCCTTTTGAATTTTTTGTTTTCTGTTTATTTCTTAAGATGTTTTTTACTGGCCTTTCCTTTTATGGAGGGGGCCCATGTCTGTTAATAACTGCTAATTCATCTTCCTCCCACCTTGTAGAAAGAAACCTTTGATTTAAAAAAAAAAACTGATTTAATTTTTAAAATTCTGAATTTAACAAACACTAAACAAAATAATAATTGGATAAGAGATGAAGAGGATTGTTTATGGAGCAGCTAATCTCTCATGTAAAAATTTAATTTTAGTTTTTTAACAAATTAATAGGTAACTTTCAACACTGTGGTTCTCGTTTGTGATTCCTTCTGGCCTGCCTTCTCTTATCTTTTTTGGGGAGAGGAGTGGGACCCTCATCCCCAACCTTAAATCCTTGCCCCTCTCCCACCAAAATTGAATAAAAAATAGCCACAAAAGTTTTATAACAAATATACGTGCTTGAACAAAATAAATTCCGCCATTGACCGTGTCTAAAAATGAATGCCTCATTTTGTATCTTTAGCTTACCACCCCTGTTTCAGGAGGTGAGTAGTGTGAGAAGCCCATGTTTATAATAAGTGAATAGGAGATTCGGGATTGGATTTGTGAAGTCTTTGGTATGGGGAACTTGCAGGTGAGGAAGAGACCAGTGTAGGTCAATACCTTCTCTTTAGCTTGCAGTCTTAGAGTTGCCTAGAACGTTGACAGATTAAGTGACTTGCCCAGGGTTACCAGCCAATATGTGTCAGAGACCAGACCTAGGTCTTCCAGGTTTTGGGTCCGACTCTCTATCTGCTATACCACACTGCCTATAACAAATGAACTACAGTCAGGCAGATCCCATTGGCACACTGACCATGTCTGAAAATGTCTGTATCAATCTAATCCTATAGTCTGTCCCTTCTCTGCCAAGAGCCCTGTGGGTGATTCTCATTTGTCTGCTCGTCTCTGGCTTTCTCAACTCTGTCCTTCCCATCCTTCTCCAAGCAGTACAGGAAGCTGAACAAGATGACGGGAAGTTGGGCAAGGACCCCTCGATGCCCAGATCAGCCAAGAGGAGCCCCGCAGCAGGGGCAGCAGCAGCAGGCGGTCAGGGTGGTATCTCTAAAAAGGAGAAGAAGGGGAAACCCAAAGGTGAGTCCCTTTCTCTTAGCTTCCAGTCCTGCAGGGCTGGTGGTGGGCATGATTGCCAGTGATGGAGGAAAGAGGGATCATGGAATGCCTTCTTCCCGTGACTGCAGTCTGGCAGACGGGATGTATTTGTGTGATTGGAGGTAAGGAGTGGGTCTTTCCTTGGCCAGAAGCCCGCAGAGGTGCTTGGCTAAAACCCCACCTCCAAAGCCCAGCTTTTATAAAATCATAGATCTGAAAGTTGGAAGGGATCTCCAGAGATCATCTGGTCCAGTCCCCTGGGTTATCATCTTCATTGTACGGATGAGCAGATAGAGCATTGAGCCACATAAGGGATAAGTCCCACTCCTGGAATACCTTAAAATTAGAATCCATGTCTCCTGACTTCCAGGCCAATGTTCTTTTTTACCTCATCTAATAATTCTATAGTGATGTGCAAATTTATCAAAATTTCTAAAACCTTTTGTCCTCATTGGCATAGTGATCTGAATCAGAGGTTATTTACCTTTTTTTGTGTTCTGGACTCTTTGGGCAATCTGGGAAAGCGTATGGACCCTTTCTCAGAATTATGTTTTTAAATGCATAAAATGAAATACTCAAGATTACAAAAGAAGCCATTTATATTGACATTGTTATCAAAATTTAAAAAATATTTTTATAGCCCTCAGATAAAGAGTCCCTGATCTAAATAGAGGCCACCTCTGAATAGAGCTGTATGCCTAACATGGGCCTTGTGAAGGAGCTGGGCTAGATGATTCCTAATGAAGGGGCTGGGGCGGGGTGGGGGGGAAGAGGGGGGGAGTCCCTTCTATCTTTGACATTCTGTGATCCTATAATCTCTTTAATCAAAGGAAAAACAGATACACTAAAAAAACAACCCATCCTTGTGTTCCATGTAAGCCAGATTTGGGGGGAAGTGGGTGTCCTCTGTTCAAAACAAAATGGTTATTTAAGGATCTAGAGCTGTCCTCATTCCTACCCTGGCTAGTTGTGCCTCTTGGCTGTGGGAACCTAGCTAAACTGCCTGCTTGTTAATAAAGGCAGAGGGAAACAATCCATCAAAATTCAAATGTGTATATATGCAGCTCCTTCTTCAGCCTGGCTCTGGTTTCCCGCAGCCCCTTTTGGGCCTCAAAAATGTTAGCACAGTTCCCTCCTCCAAAAGATGGGTTGGAGTTTTCCATGAATCTAGGTCCAAGTTAACTCCCAGGGTTCCAGCTCATTTCTAAGAGAAATATGGCTATTTTTCCCAAATGAGATGAACTGTTGTACAGTGGAAACACTTTGTCTCTCTGTCTCTCTTTGTTTCTCTGTCTCTCTCTCTGTCTCCTTTTCTCTTTCTTTTTCTCTCTCTATTAAATTTTAAAACCTATTAAACTCATTTGTCAAACCGATCATGTTAAAAACCCTGAACCTGGAGTCAGGAGACCTGCGTTCAAGTCCTGATCCTACCACTGACTTTCTGTGTGGTTTTTGGATGGTCACTTCTCTCTGGGCTCGAGTTTTCTTCTCTGTAATATGAGGCAGTTGGACTGGATCTCTCAAGTTTCCTTTTGTTCTGTATCTCTGGTTCTAGAAAACCCTCACATAGGGCACAATGGATTTCTCAACTTTGAGGGACAGAACCCTGGACAGAACACTTGATTTTTTGCTGGTGCCTTTTACCTTGCACAAATGACCTCACTTTTTTCTTTATTTCCTTCCACAAAACTGGGAAGGGATAGCTATTACATTTATGTTAGTCCAACTCTGAATCTCAAGGAAGTGGAACACAATAACCTCTAATCTAATTATGAGTTTACTAATAGCCTCCAGACATCAGTGGAAAGCATGTATGTGTGTGTGCACATGTGCGTGCATGCACACATATGCACACACATGAATAAAAGATGTTCTCCTGTTTCATTGACACCCCTTTGATCCCAGTCTTGGTCTGATTCTGGGAAATGAAGTCACAAACTACCACAACTCAGACCGTCGACTCAACACAGACTAGAGATAGATTCAGAGTGGCCCAAAGGTTTAGGTTCCGTGGGGCTTGATACTGAAGGAGATGAAGGAAATCGATGCCTTTTACAAGTGTACCAACTGAGGCTAAACAGGTCACAGATGCTTTTGAATATACCTCTCACAAGTAGGTCAGATATGTATTAATAGAAGGTCTGGTAGAATTCTTTTGGTGTCAGAGGCTATACCCATAGTCATTCCAGTTATTTCTTTCTACATAATTCCTCTTCTTTGCTTTGGGGGAAGCGGCCAGAAGTAGTCTGTGTCAGCGTTCAATGGCAGAGTCAACATCTAAAAAGACCTTGGCAGGCTAGAATACTGTGCCAGATTTAGTAAGATGAAGAACAATAGGGATAGATGGAAAGTCTCACATTCGGGTTCAAGAAATCGTCCTCTTAAGTACAAGATGGGGGAGGCATAGCTAGAGAAAGCAGTTTGTCTGAAAAAGACGTAGGAGTGTTTAGTGGACCACATGCTCAATATGCATCAGCAGTGTGATATACCAACCAAGAAAGGAAATGCTTTCTCTCTCAAAAATATGAATTCTGTTCCAAAGATAAGGCAATTTCAACTCTCTCCATGCTCTGAGACACCAAGAACCCTTCAGAGGTTAAAAACCTGATGAATTGACAGCAGAGAAGGCTAATCTCTGATACCTAAGGGTGCTCACTCAGCACCCCCTCCTTTATCGCTGACCATGCTCTGATAGGGCTGTACAAGCTGACCGCTGGGTTTGCAACAGAGCTCAGCTTCCTATCCTCCTCCCTCCTCCTAGTACTGCAGAAAACCAAAAGGCAGAAGCATGCTGTGGCTGGGACTATAGCATAACAGTACTGTGTTGTAACAATAAGTCGGGGGACGGGAGCAGGATGGCTGCATGTATGAAGTATGTGGTGCTCCACCAAACCTGAGGGAAAGTGGACTGGCATCCAGTTGGGACCAGTTCTGTTCTCCCAGGAGTCACTTGGGGCAGACACAAAGACTTTTATCTTATAGCCACTGTAGGCCTCCAGCTGATGTCACATTGAACATATCTATATTCAATATAAAAGCAACCCAGTTGGAGAAAGAGTCAATAATTTATAGGAATTAATGTGCCAAACCAGTAATCCAGGCCATTTTTTGAAATAAATACATACAATGCATTACTCATCCTTTATTCCACTTTGGTTGTTTTTGCACTCAAAGTGAAACAGGAATTCCCCAGCTGGGGAGGAAGCTGAGACAGCTTTGAGATCCAGTCCCTCAGGGAAATGACAATTAAGGGGGAAGGAGTCAGAAAGGGAGCAATAGGGGAATACAAGGAAAAAAAAAACCAAATCCAGAAATCACCAAAGATCTCAGTGGGATGAGACATAGCATCCAGCAATAAGGAGATGATGGTCCTATACTATACTCTGGTTTAGTTGGACCAAATCTTCAGTGTTGTATTCAGTTCTGGGCAACACATTTTAGAAAGGATGTCAGTAAGCTAGATTATGCAATGATAAAGGCAACCATGAGGGTGAAGGCACCTTGAATCCATGAAGATCAGTTGAAGGAGCTGGGGCATGTTTAGAATGGAGAAGTCTTAGGAAAGACAAGATAGTCAATAACTATTTGTTAAGTAGTGGGCTATATGCTAGGCACTGTGTTAAGTACCTGGGATACAAAGAAAGACAAAAGATACTCCCTGTCCTTAAGAGCTCACAGTCTAACAGGGGAAGACAACACATGAAAAGAAGATGAGAAGGAGGTGAAGGGGAAGGTCCCTGGTGTGGGGGGCTGATGAAGTCCTGTAGCCTGGTGGGAAATTATGATATGGCTGTCTTGATTCTCCTCCTTCTTAAGTAGAAGATCTGGGTGGAGCTCTCTGATCTTCACCCTCCACCTTTTCCAATTAGAGGGAAGAAGGCACCCCAGAGGCAGGGGGTCCTGAGGAGGTGTGACAGCTGCTATTTTCAAGTATTTAAAGAATGCTTCTGTGGAGGAGACATGAGCCCTGTTTTGCATGGCTTTCATGGGGAGAACCAGGAAGTTGCAGAAAACAGTGGTTCTGAAAGGGTTACCATGAGCTTTGGCTAGGTGTGTATTGCTACTCATATTTAAAATTGCATGTATGAGTCCCTCCTTCTTCCCGGATTTTGTTCAAGGCTAAAAAAAAATACTGTGCTTGGGAGCCACTAAATGAAAGCGGTTCAGTAGTAGAAAGGCCTATCTCAGGAGGCGCGGTTGGTCCTCCCTTTCCTGGAGGCGTTCAGTCAAAGATGACTGGCCACTTCTCAGGTCTGCTTTGGAAGGCATTCTTGCTCCTGCGTGGGGTGGATTGGATGACTGCTGACTTTCAACTCTGAGATTTGCTGACTTTTCTAAATGTATTTGAGTCTTCCAGTACCTGTAAAGGTCACAGACAGTTAGAACATTAGCTATGTAATGACCTTTAGAAAGCATCTAGTCCAACTTCCTCACTTAGCAGATAAGGAAATGGGCCCAGAGAAGGGATGGACCTTGCCCAAGATCACACAGGTAGTAAGTGGTGGCAATGGGTGCAGAATTTTGGTTCTCTGGCGACAATTCCAGTACTTTTCTCACTATACTGTGCTAAGATGAACCAAAATGTCATTGTAAGGCTATCTTCTTTAATCTTACATATGCTGCTTGTTTCTCAGTTTACTGTGCACATGTACCTCATTATTACCCAGGTCTAGCCCTGTGGGTATCCTCACCCTTTAATGCAAGCACGTGTAATGTCTGGATTTCTGTTTTGTTTTTCCTGAAGGGGATTAATGGTACTCTGGTGTTGCCTGTGTTCTTGCTGATCTGATTATTGCTTTGGGGTCAAGATTAATTTCTGAATGTACAATCAGGCCTCTGATCCCACCACTCAGCTGAGATGGCTGTCTTAAGGTTACCAGTGTTCACTTTCTTTCTTTTAAATGTTAGTTATAATAATAATAACAATAATAATTATTGTGTTTATAATTATTACATGGTTCACACCAGTGGACTTTTATCCA